TTCTGGGCTTATAAGCATGGACATTGTCCAGAACACCTATGGGCACGTCTCATGACGTAAGAAGTACCCGATTCCCTTGTTCCCTTAGTAATCAAGAAAGCTCTTCTCAGCAGAGAGAATGGGAAAGGGATTTCAGAATAGAAGATTGTGCTCACTCTTGTGGGGGGAGGGGGTCCACCGCTTACTAGGTGTCACTGGGTGCCTGGTTAGCTCTGTGAGGCTGCTGGGACATGGAGAGGCGGTACAAAGAGGGCCTGTGCTCTCACGATGGTCACAGTTTGGTTGGAAGACAGACCTAAATACACATGAAAATCAGTGTGTTAAGTGTCACCTGTGCTCAAAATACAGGCGCACCCATTGGGAGCACCCAGGACCGGTGCCTTGGTCTTCCCGGAGAAGCTGGGACTTGAATGACTTGAAGTTTCTTTGGACACTTCAGACAGAGAGAGGAGCATGTGGAAAGGCATATGGGAAGGGAAGTGTCTGGAAGATTTTTTTTTTTAGTTTTGAAGTCCTCATTATCTACATAGCTGTCTCGAAGCTGTCAGGCCAGGCATGCCCGGCAACATCGCTTGGTACCGGCATGTCACCCCTCCCCTGGGCACCCAGGCAGAGTCACCACGGGCACATGAGGATTCTGTGTAGGAGAGAGCTGTGCTGTGCTACTGCCTGTCACGAGCAATGCCAAAAAGGGGGCCTAGAGGCAGGGGGATGTACCCCCTGTGGCCTCGCTTCATCTGACTCTGGCAGTTCTGAATTGCATTCACTCCATGAACATTTACTGAGCGCTTTCTGTTTGAGGGATTTGGGACATGTTAGTGGCAAAACAAAGACCCTGGTCCTCAAGGCGCCTACATTCTTTTGGGGGCTGTGAAGCCTCTGAGCTCCCTGAGGCAGGGGTGGTGGCCTTCGCCAGTGTGTCCTCAGCCTGGGACTTGGTGCTCAGTAAAGGCTGGGATAACCTGCCACTTGGGAGTTCCAGAAGTGAGGGTTGGTAAGAGACCAGGGATTTGGCATCCAGAACAACAAAAGTATTCATATCAGGACTTTGAGTGTGCGCACCAGTGATAGTTGATAATGACTTTAAGTGGATGGTGGCCTGGGCCAAGCTCTGAGGTCAGACGATAATTTAGAAGGATAAGTTAAGGGGGAGAATTGTATTTTCCCTTCTCACTCCCAAGAAATGGGAAGAGGAAGAACAAAGCCCTATTCTGAGCTTGCTGTGGAAGTAGCGCCCATCACAAGGCAACGTGGTTCTCAGTCTCTGAGTTTTCCGTTTTGATTTGGGGTTGGGAGCCCTGCTTCCATCCCCCCCACCCCCCTCGGTTAGATACACAGGCCCAGGTGATGGTATTCAGGAGCTGAGGTTGTCGTTCCGAGGCCTAGAACAGAACCAGGCGCTGCTGTAGGCTTGTTCATAAGAATGTACACTTCAGAGGCAAGACTTCCAAAGTGCTGCTGCAGGGCCCAGGGGGTCAAGAGGCAAACCACAGGCCCCTCCCCCCGGTGTCCGCAGGAAGTCATGCTTTTGCACTGACCTCATGGCCAGCAGACAAGCCCTGGAAGGAGGAGATTCAGAAGGAGGAGGAGGAGACCAGATAGAAAAGGGAGGAGAGAAGGAAAAAATGGAAGTAGGTCAGGGAGAGGGAGACGGTGTCCCCATGAAAAGGGACAGAGACTGAGCAGGAGGTTGCCTGCGTTTGAACAAGAGCAAGGCCGTGGGACACTGGGTTGGGGACAGGCAGTGACGCTGGAAAGTGGAAGCGGGGTTTTGCCTGTTTTTCTGGCTGAAAACGGGCTGGTGCTCAAGGGACCTGCTGGCACTTTCTCCTTGGTCAGAGCGGAGCTGTTTGGGAACCGTCTGACCTGGATAAACAGGCACCCGGCTCGGGGAGCTGGCCCCAGCAAGGTGCAGGGGTGAACCCCGCGTTCTGACAGCTTGCCAACGCACCTGCTGCTCCGGGGTTGGCAAGAACATTCATTTGGAGAACGGTTTGCTATAATGAATTCTGACATCACTGCGCTCTGACAAGGGTGTTGAAATGGGTAACTGACCTCCTGTCAGGGGTCTGTGGGAGCCTCACCCCCAGGAACACTCCTCGCCTCTCCTCATTCTGGAGCAGAGGTTTTAAGCAGCAGTCCCTTCCCCTAGTTGTTGATCACAACATTTTAAGGATAAAGTAACAGTTCAGAGACAAGAAGCAATCCTGTGGCGTTTGTTTACTCCCCTCCACTCGGGTTATTTCATAGCATTTAGAATGTAATTCTTAAAGTTAATTTCCCTTTTTGTTCCTTTGTCTCATGATGATCCAACTAGATTAGAAATTGTTTTTTCTGCTGCCAACAGTGAAAGCTATTGGCTGAATAAGATGATGCGACCTACAGACGTATGAACGGTGTGGGCGTCCATGAGAATCGCATGTTTCTGCATCTGGATTCTTCTTCACTTTCTAATATTTACAATGAGCAGCCTTTTACCTTCAGCTCCTCCTTCCTCCTGCTGCCGAGTTGGCCTGTGGTTGGACAGCCGGCCTCGAGGTCGGCCTGATGGTGCCGCGGTTCATGTGGGCAGCACAGCCCCAGGCCTGCCGAGACCTTCGCGGCCGCTGTGGATCTTGGTTCACCAGCAGGATGCCTCCCAGTTTGAGGAAGAATTTGATTCACAGAAACACACTAGAAACAGTTTGAGAAAAACTTGTATCTGCTTCCAAGGTAACGTCAGTGCTTTGGGAACATGCCCTCGTTTCCCCTTACGATGTGACTGCCCCTTGGTCTGGGGGACTTCCTCCAGCCTCCACCAGAGGGCCTCGGTCCTGCACGGAGAGCCACCTCCGCCTTAGAGTGGAGGTCAGTTTATCCATCCTTCTCCTTTAAGGCGGGGAGGCCTTGCCCTGGGCGCTGGGCCGCTTCACCTGGGCCAACAGATTTTCCCCACTTGTGAACCGGTTCCTAGAAGTATCTCATTGGCTGCCATCCCTGGAATGCATGAAATTTGTACCGTGTGCCGTGTATATATATATTAAGTAATTTGCATATTAATGACACAAAACATAGGCCTGAGCTCTTGATCTCATAGTCTGTGCTTTCTCCTGAGCTGTACTTCATTTCGAGAACCTACGTTTCTTTTGTCCAGGAAGGTGACAGAGCTCCCGGCTCACTCTCTTGCCGGGTCTGGGAACCTGAGCAAGCCATGTCCCTTCCGTGTCATAATGAGTAGACAGTGTTAGGTCATTACAGCTAGAATATTGTGTTTTTGCCTCGATAAGTCACTCCTTCTGCAAGGAGGACGCGGTTCATTCTGAGTGACCAGTTCCCATCCTGCAGCCTTCCCTGAGTTACCGTGTTTAGGTTTGGTGCTGCCCGTTCAAGGCCTGATCTCCACCCCGGGAAACAGCCCTAGAAACCTGCGTCTCCCATTGTGTCGTCTCAGTCCCACCCCTGTCATACAGTTCACAATGCCACTGCTGTTCTGCCTCGTACACCGTGGGAGCTTAACCAGTGGTTCTGGAATAAAACAGACTACTCCTTCCTGCCCGTCCGTGTTTTAGCTGTCGCTGTCTCCTTCCCCCACGTTACTTACGAGAACTGAGCTTCAGTCCGAAAGCAAATGTGCTTTGCTGCCTGAGAACACGGATCCCATAAAAACAAACGAAGGGGAAAGCAAAGGAGATTGCATGTCCCCAGGCCTGTCACCTGATTTTCACCCCCGTCTCTTAGATCTCCTTCCTCGCTGCTTCGAGTCCTGAGCTCACGCTTCTCTTCCTATGCCCCCAGAAAACACTGATCTGCTGCCACCCGATCCGTGTGGGTGAGAGGAGGATGGGAGTATTTGTGTACCCGCGCCAACAAACTGAGCGAAGTTCTGGGGCTGTTCTTGTGAATGAGAGTTCTGGGATGTCATGTAGGTAGAAGAGGCGAATTGATAGCCCTTGCGAGTGTTGGTAACGTACAGAACCCACATTCAGTTTGATTTAATACCTTTGTGCAATTTCAAATGTCATCCAAGAAGAGGGCCGAATGCCTGGCGCATCTGCCACAGCCTGCAGGGCTGGCTGACAGGTTTGCACCGGCTGACCGGCGCTGCGGCGTCTTGGAAAGATGAGATGTGTTCTAATGAGCAGGTTATAAATATCCCCGAGTTATGTCATAGGTGGTAGCGGCGCTCAATGTAAAGGGACCGGCTGGGGAGTGCGCCAGCTGAGCAGCCGGGCGCAGCTTTCAGCGAGGACAAGTGGGGCCTGGATATATTGACCAGGATGTTACTCAGGAATCATTTGTCCCTTAATGAAATGTGTCACCAAACACGTCTCTGTGAGGTGTGTGGGGCAGCGGGTTGCGATATGTTCTGAGCCGTCCGGCAGCTCAGGTTCCGTGCTCATACAGCTGCTCCCAGAAGGGGCCTCTGACCCTTGGCTTCTCCGCGGGCTTGGAGGCGGGGGTGGGGGAGCATTTGATGGATTTATTGGGCAGTAATTTATGTTTGCAAAGATGCAGCGTGGTTGCTTGGTGGAGCCCCTCATTTCTCACACCTTTTCTCTCTGTCTTGCCCATAAAAATGGCAAGTTACAAGTAACCTTTCCCCACACTGCATGCGGTGCCTTGTGGATATTTCTGTTGCCCAGTTGCCACCCACCTTTTAGATGAAAAGACAGATTTCAGCGCCACTCAGCAGAGCAGGAAAACCGCGGAGCCACGTAAGGATGAAGATAGACTCTGGCAAGATACCTTGCTTTTGAGGGGCGGGGAGAAGGGAGCGTCAGAATTGATTTTCCAACTTTCGTTTTTGTGAGAAAATTTGGTTGCAGAAACACAAAAATCCATCAATCCTAGGTCATGTTTTGGAGATTTGAACAAAGATGGACAGGCACATTCAGAATAATTGTTGCTTAAAATATAGCCAACAGCTTTTATGTAGATAAAATGCATTGAAATATGTGTATGAAACATTTGATGTTAATACACGCCAGATGGAAACCCTGTCAAATTCTGTGTGCACACAGGAACTTGACCAGAGGAGTGGGGAGGTTCAGAGAGCTCCTCAGAGCCGTCGAGACGAGAACAACTCAGAACCTGCGAATGGTAAGTGTGGTGAATGACTCGACTAAGTGTGATCTCTCTCTCTCTCTCTCTCTCTCTCTCTCTCTCTCTCTTTCTCTCTCATATATGTTAATAGGTATAGTTTACATACCATATAATTAACTGTTTATAGTCAGTGGTTTTTAGTATACACACAGGACTGTTTAGCCATCGCTAATATTTCATTTTAAAAGGTTTCATCGCCCCAAAAAGGAACTCCATAGCCATTAGTAGTCAATCTCCATTCTCCCTGTTCCCCAGCCCCTGGCAATCACTCATTTACTTTCTGTTTCTATAGATTTCTCTCTTTGGGACATTTTATATAAATGGAATTATACAATATGTGGTCTTTTTGTGACTGGCTTCCTTTAGGATATTTTTAAGGTTCACCCATGTTGTAGCCTGCACCAGCATTTTGTTCCTTTTTATTACCAAATAATATTCTATTGTATGGATATAAGACACTGGAGGCCCAGTGCATGAAATTTATGCACAAGTGCGGTCCATAGGCCTGGCCGGCGATCAAAGTGTGAGCATCTGGCATGGAAGGGCAGGTCCCAGCTGACCTCTGGGCCCTGGGCAGCACCTGGGCCTCTAGGCCCTCACGCACCCCCCTCCACCTGAGTCACAGCACCTGAGTCCCCACATGTAGGTGCGGTGAGCGTGGCGGACGCTGTGGGCCAGGGCGCAGCGTGAGCCACTGGGGCCGCCCAGCAGCGCTGCATGAAAGCCGGGTAGGCAGCACGCTCTCTACTGGCCAGCCTCGCAGACCAGCTCCTGTGCAAACCCACAAGGAGCCCAGCTGGCCCCTGTGGTCCCGGCGGCTATGGCCCGGCTCACCCAAAGACGCTGCGCGAGTGCAGGCTCCTCATGGGCACCCAGCACCTGAGTGTGGGGGCTTCCCTAGTGCACGAGCCCTGTTGTCCCGGGGGAGGGTAGCAGGTGGAATGAGAGTGAGCTCAGCAGACACCCTGCATTCTCACCACACCTCCATCCCCATCACCCTCGCCCCCAGGTAGCCAGAGAGAAGTTGCCGATGTCCGCCTGTTCCGCCATGTTCTTCACTGCACCCTGGTGGTCAGAGCATGTCATAGTGAGCGGTTGAACTCCCAGTCAAATGACCGCCCGAGGGGATAATTTGCATATTAAGCTTTTATTATATAGGATTTTACTTATCCATTCATTAGTTGATAGACATTTGGGTTGTTTCACTTTTTAACTGTTACGAATAATGCTGTTGTGAACATTCTTATACAGGTTCTTATGTGGACATATGTGCTCATTTTTCTTGGGTATGTACCTAGGAGTGGAATTGCTGGATCATATGATAACTCTATTTTTAACATTTAGAGGAGTTGCCAAACTCTTTTCCAAAGTGGTCGCACCATTTTACATTCTCGCTAGAAGTTATGAGGTTCCAGTTTTCCACACCCTCGACATTTGTTGTTGTCTGTCTTTTTAGCTGTAGCCATCCTAGTGGGTGTGAGATGCCGTCTCATCGTGGTTTTGGTTTACATTTCCCTGATGGCTAATGATATTGAGCATCTTTTCAGTTGCTCATCTGTAGTGCTCTCTCTTAAACATAAGAAATGCATCCCGTAAGGCAGGTAGAATGTAAGCCCTCCCAGATGCCATTGCATGAAGGGATCGCTTGTATGCTAATGATTCATACAGACAGAGCAAAGCAGATTAGCCCTGAGCAGTACCTAGTTGTTTAACTAATTATACTATATAATAAAAGGGTAACATGCAAATTGACCCCAATGGCAGAACGACCAGAACGACCGCTAGACCAGTCACTATGAGGCGTACTGATCACCTCTTGGTCCCTTTTCCTGATGGCCACCCACGGGCAGCAAGCAGGCAGGAACAGCTGACCTTTTGGTCACTTCCCCAGGCCATCAGGCACCGATCACCCGATGGCAAACGGGGCTGGGGGTGGGGGCGGTGTCAGGGGGCGGGGCCGGCTGCGGGCAGCTGGGGAAGATGGCCTTGATCGCAGGCCAGGCCTAGGGACCGTGCGCTGGGCCTCTAGTATTGACTGTAAAACTTAGAAGTTAAATAACGCGTTGATCAGCCATTTGGCTCTCCTTTTGACTTGACTTCTCTCTCTTCCTTTTTAATCCTTTCCCTTTCCTTCCTGGAGACATTCATCACACCTTCATAGGTTGCCCTTCAGAGCCATAGCCATTGAGTGAGGGTTTGGGCAAAGGCCTGGTGCTTACTGGGAGCAAATGCTGCCTGTCACCACTGATGCAGAAACCCCGTGTAAGATCGCAGTTTCTTTTGTCTTCTGTCATCCATGCGATTGTCCTCCCATCATCACAAATCCTTTAAATGCTGTAGGAGAGCATGCCCTGGGGCCAGGCTAACGGATTCCTGCCACAGAAACGAGGCTGTATCTTCCGTTTGATGTCTCCAGAGTTTTAGATGCAGACATATAACTCATGGGGGCAGATGGCTAAGCCATAGGCTTTCCTGGGACTATGGGGGTGAGAGAAGATGGACTTCACACATACCTCCCCCACCAACTCACTTGGTTTTCAATATTTATTTACATAGTCATGTGATTTATAGGTGCCTTAAGAAATTCAAAGTATTTCAACTTGTAGTAATTTTTATCCATGTTTTACAGTGGAAACCACTGCAAAATATGGATAAAAATCATTGCCTTTTTCCCCCTCATTGATCTACTCCCAACATTCCATAAAACTTCTCAGCTGGTCAATATAACAGCTTTTTCCAAAATTTGGAAGCATAATATAAGTAACTGATGGTGTTAGCAAATGTTTTTATAACTTTTTCAAGCACATTGAAAAAGCCCATCTTTCAAAATTGCTTACATATGGAGCATTTGTTCATATTGTTATCTTTCAAAAATATATATTGATTCATTAAGGAAACAAATGTGTTTTTTTCTCATTAAAAAGAGTGACTGTATTGAATACACTGTTGGAATCTGCCTGCTGCTAACTTCAATGTTATTTTTCAGAATTAGAGAATATCTTTCATTATAAGGTTTATGATTTTTAAATTAGTATGTTTGAACTTATAAATAGATATACGTTAGGAAGGAAGACAGCTTTCTTTGTTTGTTTTCTGAGAATTACAGTGAAGAGGCCTTGAAAGAAAGTCTGGGTAGACTGGAGCTGCCCCTGGACATTCTCAGCTGTTAACTGGTCAGTGTTAATATGAGAGGAGTAGCCCGGCCGATGTGGCTCAGTGGTTGAGTGTCAACCTATGAACCAGGAGATCACAGTTCAGTTCCTGGTCAGGGCACATTTCTGGGTTGTGGGCTCGATCCCTAATACAGGAGGCAGCCTATCAATGATTCTCTCTCATCATTGATGTTTCCATCTCCCTCTTCCTCTCCCTTCCTCTCTGAAATCAATAAAAATACATATATATTTTTTAAAAGGAATGTGTCAGAATTCTTGGAGAGAAACTTAAATACAAGGTAGGGCAAAAGTAGGCTTACAGTTGTGAGTAGGGGAAACACAAAGTTTATTATTGTATTTATTAATTATTAATTACTGTGTTACTTTCCATAGGAACAACTGTAAACTTCCCTTTGCCCCACCCTGTCCACATCCCTGTGCCTGCCTCAGAAATGCCAGCTGGGCGGTTCTGGGCAGGACCTGGGAGCCCTATTTTCTAGTTTGCGCAGTGATTCTTAGCCCACCCTCACTGAGAGGCGCTTCCTAGGTCTTGTTTACTGGTGTCTTGGCTTACACTGGACCTCAGAAAGCCTCTCCAGCTACTGCCATTCGTCAGACAGGGTTTTCATTGGTCTTAATAGCCATTTGATTCTTTTTAGATTAGCTGATAACTGCAAATTTGTGATATTCATATGAGATGGAAAGTTGCTTTGTCAAACTCAGTCTTGTGTGAGACCATAGCAGAGAAAGATTTAAAAGTACATTTAGAGCAATGCCACTCCTAGATAAATACTCCAGAGAATTGAAAGCAGGTGTTCAAACAAAAACTTGTGCATGAATGGTCATAACAGCACCATTCACAACAGCCAAAAGATGGACGCAATCTAAGTGTCTGTCGGTTGACAGCTAGGTAAGCAAAATGTGGTGCCGCCGTAAATGGAATAGCATTCAGCCATAAAAAGGAATGAAGCACTGACACACGCTATAGCGAGGATGGACCTTGAAAACATTATGCTGAATGAAAGAAGCCGGAAACAAAGGCCACCCATTATATGGTTCCACTTATAGGAAAATACCCCAGCTAGACAAATCTATAGAGACAGAAGGCAGATGAGTAGTTTCCAGGGTCTGGAAGGATGAGAAATGGGACTTACTGCTTAAAAGGGTTTGGGGTTTCATTGGGGGTAATGAGAATGTTCTAGAACCAGGGAGTGGTGATGATTGCACAACACTGTGGATGTACTAAATCAGCCGTGGGCAAACTACGGCCCGCGGGCTGGATCCGGCCCGTTTGAAATGAATAAAACTAAAAAAAAAAAGACCGTACCCTTTTATGTAATGATGTTTACTTTGAATTTATATTAGTTCACACAAACACTCCATCCATGCTTTTGTTCCGGCCCTCCGGTCCAGTTTAAGAACCCATTGTGGCCCTCGAGTCAAAAAGTTTGCCCACCCCTGTACTAAATGCTGTTATTGTACACACTTGAAATGGTTAAATGGTGATCTTGATGTTATGTGAATTTTATTACACTTTAAAATACATACAAAAAAGTGCATTTCATGACTGAGTTTGTATGTAAAAGTTCGAGTCTTCTTTCGGGCCCCTTTTCTTCCTTTAATTCTGAGTTCATTTGATAGTTACCAGCAGTTTTTAAGCATTTAAACTGCAAGCTAAATGCATCCTCCAGGTAAAAAATAAATGATATAGCCCAGCTGGCGTGGCTCAGTGGTTGAGCCTCGACCTGTGAACTAGGAGGTCACGGTTCGATTCCAGTCAGGGCACATGCCTGGGTTCCGGGCTCGATGCCCACTGTGGGGCGTGCAAGAGGCAGCTGATCGATGCTTCTCTCTCATCATTGATGTTTCTATCTCTCTCCCTTCTTCTCTGAAATCAGTAAAAATACATTTTTTAAAAATTAAAAATAAAACAAAAGGTATGATAGATATTGGTGATCTTGCTGATAATTTCTCATATTTAATCATTCTTCCTGAACTTCATTTGAGCTTTCAATGAATGCAAGCAGACATCCTTTCTCATCGGCAGGGCACTGGTGAAGTGATGGGTGCCTTTAGAATATGCATACATCAAAACCTACTTTAAAGGTCTCTCTGGAAGGGTAATGCCCCGAGGGAATTGAGATCTAGTAGTGGACAAGCAAACTGTGTGGGGCAGAAGGTTTTATCATTTTAGAATCCCTCCTTATCCAGAAAATGAAGGTCCTTGTGCCTTTTTTCCTTTAGCATCCTTTTTTGCTCAGCTGCCAGGAGCACAGGTAATTTTTGCCCATCGACGCTCCCAGCAGAAGTCATTAGCTATATGACTGCAGTGAGTCCAAGTGAAACTAGAGCGGAAGGTTTAAGAAAACAGTTCAGGAATCGTTTAGGCCCTGGAAATTGTGTTCTTAAGAAAGCTTTACAGATGGCTCAGTTGGGGATGATAGGAGTGGTTTAATTTCACATTTTAATAGACAGTTAAAGCCAATGAGTCTTACTTGAGAATAATCAAGAAAATTTGCCTTTACACGGTGATTATCAGAAACCACCAAGCTAGTGATTTGGTTGCGTTTAAGTTTCCTCGCGGCATTTTAAGAGATTTCACATGGATGAAAGCCTAGCGGAGGTCTCCTCTGGAACATATTGTTAAAAAAGGCTCCTTTGCAGGGAAGATCAGCATCCTCTGTCGGCGTCTTGCAGAGCGCTGAGACCTCCTGGAAAAGCTGCTGGTGGACGGTTTCTTTTGCCGCCTCTGGCCGTGCTTCTGTTTTCAGAAGGGTTTTCTTCTTTCTTCTTTTTTTGTTTTTACCTTTCCTCTTGTTTTGTCATTGGAAACAACCTAATATGCATCAGTCAACAAAATACTTCTTAGTAGAAGCCGTGTGCTCCTTCCCCCATACATTATTCTGGGCTGCTGTGGGCAGTGGAGCTGGAGTTTGGAGAAGGTAGTAATCTGCATCGAATTCAGGAGGACCAGGCACTGCTGGGTTTTCACGGTGAGGAAAGAGATGCCTACCCAACGTTGGACAAAGGCCTCTCTTGATCATTAGCCATACTCCCCACTTGGCCTTCTCCATTGCAGGGTCCCAGGGTCACCGAGAACAGGGCTCTCAGGAGCGGGGTCCCAGGGTGGGGCCGTGGAGGACCAGGCCGTGGCATTCCAGGGAGGAAGGCAGTCTGAAAATCTACGCTGGACGTCATCGTATCATCAAAGCAGAGATTTTTTCAGGGATAACAGCACCTAGGTCAGTGGTCGGCAAACTGCGGCCCCTTGAGTGTGGCTCTTCCACAAAATACCACGTGCGGGCGCGCACGTACAGTGCGATTGAAACTTCGTGGCCACACTCAAGGGGCCAAAGAGCCGCATGTGGCTGCGAGCCGCAGTTTGCCGACCGCTGACCTAGGTTGAGTAGTGGCTGTTTGTGAAGTGTGGGCTTTAGCAGGCATCATTTGGGAGGTGATGAAAATATTTGCAGTTCACCTGTTATTTATAAGGGTTTTTGAAAAAGAGCTTAACCAAAAGTTTCACTTGTAAAACAGGTTTAGTGTTCCAGAGTGCAGCCGAGGCAGGTGGCATTCGAAGGGCATGAACTTATTTTTTTAAATTGTCCAAATATCTTAGTGTATCCTGTCTTCGTTTTGTCATCAACTGATATAATTTCATCCAAATATTTCATTATGAGACTTGGAAGAGTGCATAATACAAAGTGATGACTGAAAAATATTTAGTAGACGGGTGACTGAATGATACAAAACAGATTCATGGCTATGCCTTTGCCCCTTCGTGTTCCCAGACCATAGCGAGGCAGCTGGCGGAGATCCTGTTGCGGGGGATGTGTGAACAGAGCTACTGGAACCCTCTGGAGGACCCGCCATGCCAGTCGCCTCTGGACGACCCTCTCCGGAAAGGAGCCAACACAAAAACCTACAGCCTCAGCCGGAAAGCCCGCGTCTACTCAGGAGAGAAGTATGGGAGCTGATTCCTCATTTATCTATCAGGGGATGGGAGGGAAGCTTTGGGAAAATTCAACGATGAGTAGAAGCTCAAGGGCAGATATTTTTCCCCTGAAAGAAAACCCGATGAAGAAGTCTCATTGACCAATTTAAGCGAGGTGCCTCATTATTCCTCACACTTTCAGCAAATGTCTGTGCACTGGTGAGGGAAAGGCTCTCATCTCAGCCGTTGCTATTGGTCTTTGACTTCTCAGTCCGTTTATCGGAAGAACCCCAGCGTTGTATGCAGTCAGTGAGAAAGCTAGTTGTAAAGTCAGCAAGTTAACTTTGTACTTTGCTTCAATTCCTTCATCTTTTTGTTTAAAAAATTTTTTTTAAACTGAATTAGCTATATGAAGGAGAATTAATGTGCGAGGGATTGGAAGGTGCTGTCTCCTTAGAACTTCTTGGTTATTTTAAGTTTTAAATTTGGGACTCGATCACCTGTGAGGATAATGGGCTAGTGAACCGCTGTAGCCTCTACCTGGGTCTCCCCAGGCCGGGAAAGGAGGGGAAGGAGGGAGAGAGACCGTGAGAAGGGCAAGCAGGCAGGAACGATGTGGGCTTATTCTTGACTTTTCCCTCAGAGCCTTTACTTCCCATCTTTGCCTGTTCTTGTAAGGACAAGGCACGATGGCATTTCAGAATCTCTCCATGAAGGAAAGGGAACATGTATAAATAAAGAGGGAAACCCTCTCCGGCTGTTGTCAAATTAGAAAAATGGCCGAGAGACCGCAGGCCCCAGAGAAAGCACCGATAGTCACGGGGGGCGGGGGGAAGGTGGTTAGGGGGAGGGAATAGATTTTTACTACACGTGTACCTTCTGAAAGTGGTTATTGCACTGTCAAGGGACAGCTTTTCTCAAAGTACCTGTCTCTTAGTCCTCTTAAGCATCTCTCTTCCTCATCATCATGATCAGTTTGCCTTTCTTGTACAAATTCAGACAAGTGAGCATATTCTTAACGTTTTCCCTGGGCTTATTTTAATTTCATTTTTATCCTCCTTTTTCATGGCCTTGTTGAGCCATGAGTTTGCCTAATTCACAGCCTGTTTATTCCTTAGTCCTTATCTGGATTCATAGAACATGTGTTCTTGCAATTCCCAAGCTCACTTTACAATGCTGACCCCTTTTTATGAACTATTTAGAAGTAGATTTGGGTTCATTTTGAAAGTGATATTTATATCTTAAAAATAGACCCTACATTTTTTTTCTGCTTTAGATGCCTCATAATAGACAGGCATATGAGGTACCAGGTATATTGAGGAAGTCAGTTCTTGCTCCCTGCCCAGATCAAGGTGGACAGATGGAGGACAGGTGGAGGGAGCGCGCTCTCTGTTTGGATGCTGTTCCAGTGTGGCCTCCCCCATCGAAGGCAGAAAGCTCAAGCTTCTTTATTTCCTAAGCCACTAAGACTCTTCTAGCAGCAGCTTCCCCATCTGTGCAGGGAGAATTGTGGAGGCAACATGCAGATCTAGAAAATGCAGTTACTAGGTAAAGGAACCATTTTCATACCAGGACTGGTTACTGAGTCACATGTTTCATTTCAGACAGATACACACATGTGGGTTTTTTTTAATCATTTTATTGAGATGTAATTCACATACTATATGTACCATTCACTTATTTAAATTGTACCATTCAGTGACTTTTAATATAGTCATATAGTTGTGCTTACATGACCACAATCAATTTTACAACATTTTCATGTGCAAGTGATTGGAAGGTGATCAGCCAAAATCAGCCCAGAACCCCTGAGCTGTCCTCCCTACCCACCTTCCTTTGCATTTGAATTTTGGAGTCAGTTCATTTCAGGAAAGAAAAATGCAACTGGGATTTTGACAGGAATTTCATTGAATCTGTAGATCAATTTGATACGTATTGCCATCTTAACATTATTAAGACTTCTGATCCATGAACATCAATTTCTTTCTATTTATTTAGGTTTTCTTTAATTGCTTTCAACAATTTGTAGTTTTCAAGGTATAAAGTTTGTACTTCTTTTGTTAAAACTTATTTCTAAATTGGTGTGTGTGTGTGTGTAATTTTTTTATGCAATAGTGAATTGAATTATTTTCAATATATTTTATTGATTTTTTACAGAGAGGAAGGGAGAGGGATAGAGAGTTAGAAACATCGATGAGAGAGAAACATCGATCAGCTGCCTCCTGCACATCTCCCACTGGGGATGTGCCCGCAACCCAGGTACATGCCCTTGACTGGAATCGAACCTGGGACCTTTCAGTCCGCAGGCCGATGCTCTATCCACTGAGCCAAACCGGTTTCGGCAATTATTTTCTTAATTCCATTTTTGGGTTGATTCTATTGATTTTTGTATACCACAATCTTGCTGAATATTCATTAGTTCTAATAGTTTTTAGATTCCTTAGGATTTTTTATATATAAGATTATGTCATCTGCAAATAGAGATTAGTTTTGCTTCTTTCTTTCTAATCTGAATGTCTTTTATTCCGTTTTCTTTCCTAATTGCCCTGGCTAGGACCTCCAGTACAATGTTGAATAGAAGTGACAGAGTGAACACCCTTCTATTGGTCCTGATCTTAGGAGGTGAAAAGCATCCATTCTTTCACCATTAAGTTTGTTGTTAGCTATGGGTTTTCATAGATGCCCTTTGTCAGGTTGAGGAAGATCCCTTCTATTACTAGTTTGAGTATTTTTTTTTCATGAAAGGGTGTTTTAAATCTATCAAATGCTTTCTCTGCATCTATTGAGATAATTGTATGAGTTTTGTTCTCTCTTCTCTTGATGTGATGTGATGCGATAATTACATTAATTGACTTTCAGATATTAAACCAACTTTGGATTCTCGGGTAAATCTCACTCATCATGGTATATACTTCTTTTATTTATTGCCAAGCTTGACCTGTTAGTTTGGAGAGGTGATGAAGATATTAGTTGAGGGTTTTTACATCAATATTCATAAAATACATTGCTCTGTAGTTTTTCTTGTGATATTTTTGTCTAGTTTTAGTATTAGGGTAATACTGGCCTCACAGAATGTGTTGGGTAGTGTTCCTTTTTCTTCTACTTTTTAAAAGAGTTTGTGGAGAAGTGGTATTAATTGTTTTTTAAATGTTTGGTAGAATTCACCAGTGAAGCCATCTGAGCTTTTGTATGTGGGAAGGTTTTCATTACAACTTCAGTCTCTTTACTCATTATAGGTCTATTAAGACTTCCTGTTTCTTCTTGAGTCAGTTTTAGTAGTTTTTGTCTTTCTATAAATTTGCTTGTTTCAGCTAAGATATCTAGTTTGCTGGCATACCATTGTTCATAACATACCCTTATATATTTTTTTATTTCTATAAGGTTGGTATAGTCGTGTCTTGTCTTTCACTTCTCATTTTAGTAATTTGAGTTTTCTCTCTCTCTTTTTGGGTCAGTATAGCTAAAAATTTTATCAAATTTTGCTGATCTTTTTGAAGAGCCAATTTTTGGTTTTGTTTATTTTTTTAAAAATTGTGTATCTACTCTCTTTTTTTCATTTATTTCTGTACTATTTCTTATTCCTTCAGTTATTACCATCAATTTTTAACTTTCTAGTTTTGCATGTTCACAATCCTACTTCTGATTTATTATAAAGAGAGAAAAGCTGTTGGGTTATATTTGTTTTGGGGCTTCTATTACCAAGGCAGGACTCTCTGATCAGCCAGTTCTCAAAAGGACATTATCACCAATTCACTTGAATACAAAGCAAACTTTAGTGGCACAGATCCTAAAACATGGTGAATTTTTACCAAGTGAACACATGCATGTAATTAGCATCCTGATCAAGAAATAACTCAAAAAGCCCTCTTTATACCGTCTCCCAATGACTACCCCTACCCAAGGGTGACTCAATCCAGACTTCTATCATAAGAATTAGTCTGGTTCAACTTTGAAACATATATTAAACTTTTTGTTTAACTTTTTTTTTTTTCTCTCCCTTGGTATCTTCCTGGAGTTTTTTTTTATGTATTTGGTTGCTCCTGCATGGGGTGCATATATGTTTATTAGGGTTATATCCTCTTGTTGTATCGATCCCTTTAGTATTATGAAGTAGCCTTCCTTATCTCTTGTCATGGCCTTCACTTTGAGGTCTATTTTTTTTTCATTTCCATTTGCCTGAAAGATATTTTTCCATTTCTTCACTTTCAGTCTGTGTGAGTCCCTTGTTCTGAGGTGGGTCTCTTGTAGACAGCATATATATGGGTCATGTTTTTTTTTATTATTTTTTTATTTTTTTTATTTTTTTTATTTTTCGCTAAAAGTATTACAAAGGGTATTACATAAGTGTCCTTTTTCCCCCCCACCCTTGACAAGCCCCTGCCCTCCCTTACCCCCCAGTGTCTTATGTCCATTAGTTATGGTTATATGGATGCATACAAGTCCTTCGGTTGATCTCTTACTCCCCTCCCTCCTGTCCCCCAACCCTCCCTGGCCTTCCCACTGCAGTCCGACAATCAGTTTGAGGCAGCTCTGTCACTGTATTTATTATTGTTCAAAAGTTTGTAATGGCCTTAATTATCCATGAAAGAGTGAGATCATGTGGTATTTTTCCTTCATTGACTGGCTTGTTTCACTTAGCATAATGCTCTCCAGTTCCATCCATGCTGTTGCAAATGGTAAGAGTTCCTTCTTTTTAACAGCAGCATAGTATTCCATCGTGTAGATGTACCACAGTTTTCTAATCCATTCATCTACTGATGGGCACTTAGGCTGTTTCCAGATCTTAGCTATGGTGAATTGTGCTGCTATGAACATCTGGGAGCATATATCCTTTCTGATTGGTGTTTCTGGTTTCTTGGGATATATTCCTAGAAGTGGGATCACAGGGTCAAATGGGAGTTCCATTTCCAATTTTTTGAGGAACCTCCATACTGCCTTCCATAGTGGCTGCACCAGTCTGCATTCCCACCAGCAGTGCACAAGTGTTCCTTTTTCTCCACATCCTCTCTAGCACTTGTCGTTTGTTGATT